GAACTGTGTTCGTACGTTTCAAAAATATCAGAAACAACAGAAAAAGGGTTGATTTTACTTCTCCAAATGGAGGAAGATTATTTTTACGCTCCACGAGCTGAATACTTCCCTTGGCCAAGCTCGTGATACTGCAACGGGAGCTGTTAATATTCACTATCAGCTACTGAAGCATTTGCCTGATTCACGTTTTAAGACGATAGTAGACATAATTAATCTGATCTGGACATCAGGACATTTTCCTCTTTCATGGCGTAATGCAACAGTTGTTCTTATACCTAAACCTGGCAGGGACCATACAGATGCATCACATTATCGCCCAATATCACTAACCAGCTGTGTTTGCAAACCCATGGAACGAATAGTAAATAATCGAATTGAAAACCAACAATCTCACTAAGAATATTCAAATGTGATTTCCGTCAAAATAGAAGTACCCTTGACGACCTGAAACGTTTAGAATCCTTTGTTAAGAATGTCATTGTAAATAAACAGCATGCAGTATCAATCGTTTTTCGATTTAGAAAAAGCGTATGATACCCCATGGAAGCATGGTATTTTAAAAGATCTACATGGTCGACAATTTCAGGTTCGTGAGGGTTCCACCCTGTCTGACCATTATAATCAGGAGCAGAGTGTCCCACAAACAACATTTTATCTGTCACTCTGTTTAGTATAAAGATTGATAGTCTTTCCAAGGTTTTAAGTGACTCCATTGGCGGGTCCCTTTTTGTGGATGATTTTAATATTTCATGTCGTAGCACAAATATGCGTACGATCGAGAGACAGTTGCAGTTATGTCTCAACGAAATTCAAAACTGGTCTCTTGAAAATGGATTTAAGTTTTCAAAAACCAAGACTAATTGTAATCATTTTTGCAGGAAATACAGGCGAAATAAATTATAGATTCCATCAAGGTTGTGGGGGAGGCCATGTTGTATGGTTAATAAGCCTTGGCGCTTTCAAGTGTATCTACTGCCAATACTCGCTAGACCGTATGCGGTTCGTATTGTTACTGAATGATCAGATCGAAACTTAGTTTCGCTAGTAAGTAAGTAATTATGGGGCGATTTTGATCTTGTACTGACTTAATCTGGTGTTACTGGGCTAAACATATTGGCTAGGATGTCATACCCGTTTTGCTAGTGAGCCGTGAATGCCCAAAGTTCCTGGGATTGTCTAGTTTAGGTCCAGGACCATTTTTCATAATTGTGAGTCAAGTTATTTTTTAGGTCAAGTATATTTTTAATTGTTGTTGGTCTATATACTGTGTTGATCAAGTACCTGCATTTTGAAGAAGTCTCGAATTTCCTTGCTCAGGCGGAGCGACTTTAGTCTATACGACTAAGCTTTTAGTCTAGTCTTAATTTCCAAGAGACATATTTTTGGGATATGTAACGCACTGCTCATTTTCCCTGTCTAACCAAGCCGAGTCTATTCACTCATTAGAGTGGTGTTGAGTTAATTAACTAACACGTGTCAGTTGGTCACCGCCTGCTTAATTGGTTTTCAAATGCATCTTGTCGATTGTCTTGTCAGAGTGTTGACTTAGTCATCTTTTGTAATAGCTGTTATACAGTTGGTTAGCTGAACAGTTTTATATATCTGCATGGTTTATTAATTAGTGATCATTGTCAGTGTCAGTTGGGGTCTTGATCCTTTAGATTACCATTTTAAGTTACATTTAGCTGATAATAATAAAACTGTGACCTTTACCACGTTTTCTGTTATTACTTTATTCTTATTTAAAGATACCCCGATCTCTGTGACACAGCTCCGTAACCACAATGCCTGAACTAACATTTCTCAATGGCACAGTCTAAATTATTACCACCTCCATAGATAATGGCATTGAGTCAATGGCATGTCAACTAACACTGCCGTTTGCCTATATCAAGATCTGTAGGCAATATTGGTGTAGAGATTTTACAGTTGCTGCACATATTTTCACATTTCCGTCAGTCAATTCAGTTGATAGTAAATTGCTGGTGAAGGTCATGATCATGATATATGTAATACAAGCATTGTTTCCACAAAGCTTTGTATTTCGACAACAACAAAAACAGACATATACAAGTTTAAAGACCGTATTTTCGATCAGGTATGATATTATTTATAGCATTTGTGTATTTTCATGTCACATGTCGAAATCACAGCCCAGGTCATTCATCTATTTAAGGTTTACAATATGCTTCCATTAGGCTGTGCACACAAAAGACTCTCTTTTCTTCCCGGCGGCACGGGTGGCCAAGTCGTCCAAGGCGCCGCGATTCGCTGTACAGAGTTGCGTCCCTTGGGCACGCCAGAAATCTATGATTGTTGGTTCGAATCCTGGTTCGCCCCGATTATGTTTCTAGGTTTGTCAGCACCATACCCGTGCTCGTGGGTTTCACCGAATTGGTAAACGTCTGAGACCTGCATCACTTCGGGCTTTCCTCCCACATCAAGCTGACGCGCCGTGATATAACTGGAATACTGTCAAAAGCGGCTTTAACCCTAACTTACTCACTTACTCACTCTTTTCTTCCATTACCCTGCTTACGGTAAAATATATTTCCTAAACATGTTTTGTTAGAAGGCACTCCCTTCAACATTTGTTTCATCATAGTTGCAGTCATTGTTAAATCAACCGGGGTCCTAAAAGACTGTTAATACTGGATATGTGGATGTGTTATATACAGGTGGGTGTAATTATCCGCAGGATTTATTCTCATTCAACACGTTCTCCTTCAACATTACTTCTAATAAAATCACAAAATGTTTCATTGGTTTATTATTTTATTTAAGCACCATTGGGAACTACATGTGCAAAACAATACTTCAACTAGCGGACATCAGCGGCATATGTGAATAATATACCCTCCGGAACCATTATGAAACTCAATATTAAATGAACATTACAATATTTAACATGTAAATAACATATTGTAATATAAATTCACGTGTCCATTGTATTAAATCTTCCTCATCTACATGTACGAAAGATTACGCCAACTAGCGGTCATCAACGGCCTACGTGAATAATGTACCCTTGGGAACCATGATGAAATTCAATTTTAAATGAATTTTTCCCATATTTAACATGAAGTAAATAACATATAGCAACATTATTACATGTGTCCTTCCATTATATAAAATTATCTTCTTTAACTACATGTGCAATCAAAAACGTCAACAAGCGGTCATTAGCGGCACATGTGACTAATGTACCCTTGGGAACCATTATGATATTCTAAAGGAACATTGCCATATTTAACATGTAGTAAATAATATATATACTCTTCAAAAAAAAGAAACTTGACATACATGTAAAACCTCTTTTTGCCAAATATCTAAAATAATTACATTAAATGAGAACCAAATAAGTCAAACAGAAAGATGATGTGTCTATAATTCGCGAAAACACATGCAAAGCACATAAACGTAGCGTTTGGGGATCAATTTTTCAGCTTCATCCAAACGCAACCGCCTGTAAAAAAAACGTGCATCACAGGATCCTGCATTTAGGCATGCAGGCCCCCCTGCTAAATGAGTATAAAAATCCACATCAACGGCTGTTCATACATGTACAGTCCTTATAACGGCAGTAGAGGCGGTGACAGAATGCCAAGACTGAATGCAGCTTAACGGAACAACGCCATTGGGAGATTACAAGCTGGAGCAACTCAGCAAGAATTGGCTAGGCACTTTGACGTATCCAGACAGACAATATCCGCACTGTGGACCCAATACAACAACACCAACAGAGTTGACGACAGACCAAGGTCAGGAAGACCAAGGGTGACAACCCAAGCACAAGAACGATACATCCGGCTGAGACACCTCCGAGTGAGTGAGTGAGTTGGGTTTAACGCCGCCTTTAACAGTATTCCAGTTATATCGCGGCGTGTCAGCTTAATGTGGGAGGAAAGTCCGAAGTGATGCAGGTCCCAGACGTTTACCACTTCGGTGAAACCTACGAGCACGGGTATGGTGCTGACAAACCTAGAAACATAATCGGGGCGAACCGGGATTCGAACCCACAATCATAGGTTTCTGGCGTGCACAGCGAATCGCGGCGCCTTAGACGGCTGGGCCACCCGTGCCCCCGCGACACCTCCGAGACCGCACTACCACAGCCACGTCTCCAACCACACAGATCCCTGGGGTACGCAGGATATCAGATCAAACGGTACGCAACAGACTGAGGGAGGCTGGACTTTTTGCACGAAGACTGTTCGACGTCATGTATTGACCACACGTCATCTGGCAGACCGTCTGCTTTGGCGCCAACAGAGGGTTAGATGGGCACGTGCAAGGTGGAGAAATGAACTGTCTACTGATGAGTCCCGTTTCCTACTCACACGTGCTGATGGGCGCGCACGTGTCTACAGACGTCGGGGTGAACGTTACGCCCCCAACTGTGTGCAGCAGGTTGTCCAATTTGGCGGCGAGAGTGTCATGGTATGGTCCGGAATTCATCACGGTGGTAGGACGCCTCTCGTGCATGTGGCAGGTGCATTGACAGGTGTGCGTTACAGAGACTTGATCCTACAGCCTTACGTACTTCCTCACGTCAACGTTAATGGCGGACAGTTCCAGCAGGACAACGCTCGACCGCATATTTCACGTGTTTGTCAGGACTTCTTACACCACAACAACATCCAGACATTACCTTGGCCAGCCCGGTCACCAGATTTGTCCCCGATTGAGCATCTGTGGGACGAGTTGGGTCGACGCGTTCGCGGAAGGAATCCACCGCCCCAAACACTTCCGGCGCTTCTTGATGCACTTCAGCATGAATGGCAGCACATCCAACAGCGTGTTATTGACAACTTGATTGCATCCTATGGGTCGGTGTCAAGCGGTGATTGATGCACGTGTTGGGCACAACCGATACTGACATTTTCTGTACCCCTGTGACATTAACTGTATCGTGTACGTGTGTCTGTCTAGGTGACACGATTAATGTTTTGAACATTGTGTACATTGATCTTCAAACAGTGTTTCAATTATGGTTTCTGTGTCCTATTTTGAAACAATCGCATTATATTACATTTTGAAAGTCAGTGTCAAGTTTCTTTTTTTGAAGAGTATATATTAACATTATTACATGCGTCCATTATATTATATCTCCCTTAACTACAAATTGGTTGAAGCATGTCATCGATCCCAATTGCGTGGATCGATGCTAATGATGTCAATCACTCGATTGTCTGGTCCAGACTCGATTATTTTCAGACCACCGTCATATAACTGGAATATTGCTGAGTGCGGTGTAAAACAACAAACGAAACCAAAGCCGAAACCTTAACTACATGTACAACAAATAATGTCTTTGGATTTTCATTTTCATAGATTAAAAAATGAAAAGAAAAATAATTACCAAGAAATAAAACTGTTAAAATACTCAATAAGTACACCATGTCCGTGTGCATTAACAACTAATCGTGATTGTACACTAAACAATTATTCTGTCATACTGACCCTGAAACAAACATATCCGAAGGAGATTTATTACCGTTGGCAAGTCTAGATCATGGCAGAAATGAAGGGAGTCTCGGCTCCTTTTTGTTATATTTTATTACGATAATTAATACGAGAATTAATCTGTAAAATCTTTTCATTTCAGCCACAAGATGTAAGTCAAACTAAACAACATAGAGGTACCTAACGGCATTGAAGGGTTGGTTGTTATATGAAGTGTCATCGAGGTATGATTCTCATAAATAAGGCAGATGATTCACACTTAAAGAACACTTTTGTTGCGAAGAATGGACACACATGTATTAACGCACTGCATTACTATCATAATTAGGAAGAAGGATATACATGCGAACTATTGTGAAAATGGAACATACTGTCAACAAACACCCGTTCAAATTCAACCACTTAAATCCATAAGCAGTTAACACATTAGCCAGTGCGATTACAAGAGGCTAATGTTAACGTTCTGAAATAGACCATGCATATATGATGCACGCATCTCTCTATGATTATGAAATATATCATTGCTTGAAGTAGTTACCCTTATCACACGCATAATAGTAGTGCAACTGGGTCTGTCCTCGAACATTCATATAGCATGAAACCTTTCAAATTTTCGCGCACACATCATACATGATGACTATCTTAGAATTGTATTTTTTTCAAAAAGCACTCGACTGCAAGTATTATACAACTGATGCCAACGCTAACTGCACAAACAACAACGGCGGCTTTCAGATCTGTCAAAACGAATTGCGTGTTTCCACCTTCGTCATTGGTTTCAAGTTTCGCTTTGGGTTTAAATGTTTTCAGCATATTCTGGATTACTCCGTTTTCATACAGGGCTGTTAGTCTGAAATAACCACAAGTATTGATAAGGAGGCAAAACCCATTTATGTTTACAATCACAGCATATATTGTAATTCGTTTAATACATACATCGTACTTATCATACACACTATCGTAGGAAATTACGAACATACTTACTTGTTAGAAAATAGCTCAGCAAGCGGCGACTGAAGTGGAAAGGGATACCGTAGCATGACTGAGACAATGCTGTGTTTCATTCGCTCCACATTGGAGTTGTTTGCAGATATGGCATCAAATATAGTCTCGTACTCAATGAATGCATGCTGTCCCGAGAGTAGGAGGGCTGTGTGCCAGTGAAGTTCCTCCAGCGCCCCTTGATGAACTGGTCTTCTACTGTCTTTAATCTTTGTCCAAATCTTCTCAAGAACAGAATCGTTAGACGTCTAGAATAGAGATACTTGTGTCACTGATATACATAGTAAGCATTATTTTGAATAGTTATAGTTATGTTAATCCTTTTTAAACAACACTTTTATTCGGCCCAAATTGTTAAAATATTCGAAAATATTAATTTCGTACCTGAAGCATCTCTTCTAGATAAATCGACTTTGTCATCACAATATTAAATTCATTATTTTCGGCCAGCTCTTCGAGGTTTGAAAATGGAACATAATTCTTCTTCACAGCATTAAATGCAGTTTGATTCCCAGTGTAGACAGCAATTATAATCATGCATACAATACGCCAAGAACCCAGCAGTACACGTCCTGATGAAGCTGTAGGTAGATGAGGTGATCCTGACAATGAAAAATAAAAACATTATAAACATTAAAATATGAGCGATATTCTTATAACATTTCACATATAACCCCATAAATCTCCGTGTATTTTGTTAGTCTGGAATTCCGAGCAACTAGAACCCATGATAGTATAACATATACATGTTCGATGGCTAATGTTGTTCAGTTAAACGGGTATACCGCTGCAGCTACTTGACGTTTGCTATTGAACTGGATATGTCAGGTATTTATTCTTGTCTCCTTGCATCAACAACCTCTTATTACCTTGGTTTAGGGCAACAGCGACTGGAGTCTGTATCACATCCATTTTCCCAGGTGTGAATGTCGTGCTCTGTCTTTTCCAATATGCCAGTTCCAGACTTGTATACAACATTATAACCCATACAAATCCGACCAGACCCCATATATATACTTCCCACGAATAACAGTTTAATAATAACAGCCATTCACCAGTGTATACACTTTTTCTATATGCAACTTGGATATTATCTGCACCGATAATACTTGAAAATGACACAATACTTTTTCTTTCGTCTGTAGAGCCAAATGGAATCCCAATGAGATCGACCTCCTGAAAAAAAATAATCTTAGAATTGTACATATAGGAAAGAGTTCTGTTTATGAGAAAAATATATGATTAATAAAACCAACCAGTATTTACAGTACATGCAAAAACAGAAGCAGATCCATACCGACCATTTCCTGAGGCCCGAAAACTTTGCCGTCAGAAACATGTGACTTTATCAATTCAGGTGACAGTTCACCTCACCTATATGTCTGTGTATTTAGTTTTATGAATAAGATGCATTAAGGTAATGCATTGATTGGTAATTTTGATTGGTAAACTAGTATTTCATAATTAGTATACATGTATCTTGATATTCTACCAACTGTGCCGCTTGTATACCTTCTCTCTTAATTCTTAATTGATCTTATCATCATACACATGGTTGCCATCTGATCGCCACACAGTGTCGTCAGTTATGTGTATATTTTGTTTATATTGTGTTATATCATGGCAATTTGTAGAGGCATTAATTTGTAACGTCTCAAGTATTTTAAGTTGTAAGTTGGCTTAACACCTGTTTAACTGTAACTACTGCTCTGCATGTTTATGTTACATTAATGTATAAATATCAAGTATAAATATTATTTCTAGTGTATGCATCTGTGTGTTGATACCATGTGATTTGTTTTCTTATTTCATCTATTAGTCAGTGAGTGAGTTTGATTTTACGCCGCTTTTAGCAATATTCCAGCAATATCACGGCTTTTCATCTATTAGATATTTTCTTTGTATTTTTTATGCAAATTTGCAGAGTTAGCATATATAACTAGCAAGCATATGTGCATTGCACATCAAATAAAGATCCAGCTGACCAGTCACATCCGAGTAGGTTGTTCTGTGTTTTGTTGCCCTAACCGGAGCCTTGCCCGCTACTACATATCTAAAACGCAATCAATACCAATCATCGATACACAAATGAACTTTATCGCATTTTCCTGACCATATCAACATACCTATATAGAGGATTAATATCAGTTTGCGAAAAAGAAGAAAATCTTTATCAGAATCACAATTATTAATTTACATTTTATCTAAATAATTGTTTGATACATCAAAGCAACATGTGTTTGGTACGCATACTTTCTTGTATGCCGGTTATTGGTTAATCGTTTATTACGTTTGCGTTAAATGCCATAAATACAATTCTTGACGAAGGGTTAGCTTCATAATGGATCACTACGACTGCCAAGTTCAAATAATTCCGTCCTGTTTTCAATACAACTGTATAAACAAGGATACTTATTAACAAGGTACACCATGTCAACCCCATGAAACCAAAACTGTAAAGGTGTGACATGTGTCTGAATATTTCGATGTTACACAATTTGTAATACCAGTACATAGGTTGTGATTTCAGTGCGTTATTGTCTATAACAATGAATTCACAAATTGTGTCATAAAGTACACGCATACGTCACTGGCTGCCATCCCAAGCAATCCTGTCCAGCTGTTGTTGGCAGTCAAATATCCAAAAGATCCGTCACGCGGTTCCACAAAATGGTGGCTGCGTGAAACAAATATGTGGAAAATACAAGCATACTCTAAAGTACACCGACAGGCATCACACAACACCAGGTATCATCACTCTTTGATAGTGATTCGTAAACACATGCTCATGGTCGGTTTTCCTACAATCGACTCTTCTTTTAGCAGACATTTCTTATGAAAGGGTTTTGTCGTTTTTATTTAAGATCGGAACAAGCTTTAAATGTAAATTAAAATGGGATAAATGTATATATGTTACGAATAAATCTACGGCAAACATATATGTATCGGTGAAATAAACTGCCGGGCAAAAGAAAGTATACACCGATGTTTGATAGTAGCGAAATATGAAACAAACAAGAAATGGAACGTTATTCGATAGTGGTATATTTGATACGGGTTTCATAGTTGTGTTTTGGACCGTAAGGTTACAGTGTTTCGGTGACTGTTTTCAGCCTGTAACGTTTTGATAACGTTGTAATTTAAAGTCAAATCCAATTTATAAATGGATACTTTCGTTTGTCCGGTATTTTCTTTCATTTATCATTTTAGAAAAGATCCGACATATACCTAAAGTTTAGTGTGCGTCCCAACATGTTGAAGAGTTCACAGCACAATTGCCCATAAACAACTACTTCATCGCCATGGACAATACGGCAATATGGTATCCACTGACAAAACAAAACATATATTTATTCTGCATGTATGAGTGATATTTGTGGTTGAACTCTGTGGAACGTTATCAGTGTTTAAGCGTAGCACATGTCATATTCTACTACATTGATACAACAAATGGTTGTTGTCAATGTCAAGGCAATTTAGAGGATTTTAACAAAATAAATTAGTGACTTCCAGAATTGAATAGAAGAATCCTTCACGTGTCCGGGGAAAAGAATACACTCCATGGAATGTATGTAATTTTTGGTGAAGTTTATGACAAATACTGTACAGCTTGATCACGATTCAAATTTTATTCATATTCTGTGGGAAAATGGTAGACATATAGACACGTATTATTTAGTCAGATTACCTCAACAACACCAATCGTTAGGTTCCTTCCATTAAGCCCGTATCTAGTGTTGGGGAACATCCTGTCAAAACTGCATTCTACCCCCTCAGCAGGACACCGATCGTAAACCTTCTTTAAGTTCCGCCCTTTCGTATCCCACATTAAAGTCTTAATAGTGAAACAGGTCTTTGACGATGGTTCACGACATCCCTGTGAATACATAAGTAGCATAATGTAGCATCATTATACACATTGTTATCGAAGAGCAGTGTACCTTTGTATCTAACATTATCAAATATGCATACCTGACCAGGTTCTTCAGCGTGAACAACTGCCACATTGTCCAGTGTCGTCTCAGGAACCATTAAGGATGCATCGTGGTGCTTGCATATGAACATCCACTTTGAAAAGTGACGCAGTAGTGATCTTCTACCAAATTCCTTGTCTAGGTATGTCACCTAAAATAGGTCAGTTCTTAGTTTTATGTGAACATCCACGTATGGTGTTATCGCCATTGTCATCTCTATCCATATATTTATACTTAAATTTCATTTATCAAAGCCATGAAAATAAATACATAGGAGAGATTGGGCCACATTGAGACAACACTATGTTTTGTTCCATATCTTCTGTTGCAATGGGTACAGAAACAAAACAACACATCATATCACTAGAGCCTCTAACGACAAACATTGGAGCAAGAGAACTTTGCAACAACATTAGACAATCTTAGATATTATCAATTGAATTTTCTTTGTCACAGTCCACCCTTTGTCCAGGTGCATTAGAATACTTGTTTGGGCAGTTTAGGACAATCACTTATTGGACTGTAGGCAACAGAATGCAAGACTAGATTTTTTGTTACATTTGAGGATTTTAACTTTTCACCCCTATGAAATCAATCATATTTTGACAGACAAAAGATATCCCGTTTGTCGTAATGTCGAATCACCAATAACAACATATATACATATTTTTATTTCAAACCATGCCCTGTATCGTATTCAGTTCAGCGACCAAACTACATACACTGTCCTTGATATCAGATTAATGTTAACCCCCGATCTGGTAAATTCCGAAATAGTGTATGGCTACTTATACCAAACGTTTGGTTCATTGCCATGGGGTACATTCATGTCAGTGAAGACAAAGGTAATGGAATATGCTGTTGAGTATTTTTCAATATCTCCAAAACCTCAATATGCACCAGTTCACCACTAGACAGATCTTTTATCAAGTTTCATCAAGAAAAATTCTACACTTTGGGGTTCTGCTCCAGAAATGCGCACCACCCTTATTTTCAGTAAAGGTCTAACTTGTCGTCATAAAGAAATTTTAAAAAACCATTAAACAATAAACATCCCAAATTCTCAGAAGGCACAAGTTCATCATTAGACTGATCTGTATAGCACGTTTCATCAAGACATATTCAACGGTTTGGGGGTTCTGCGCTAGAAACGAGCACTTCCCTCATTTTCAATAAAGTCCGACATGTAGTCATGAAAGCAAATAAAAAAATTACAAATAGAAATCCAAAATCATCGAAAGGCACTAATTCACCACTTGACTGATCTGTATAGCAAGTTTCATCAAGACATATTCAACGGCGTAGGAGTTCTGCTCCGGAAAGAGAAAATGGACGGAGGGCACACGGGCGGACGGACATGCTGATCGCTGTAACACCCCGTTTTTCATGTCCCATTGTACGCTACACATACCCATGCATTCTTACAATTTCTGAATCAAATAACCATGTGGCGAGAAGAACATCCTCAATAATCATGTATTTTCACAAAAGTATTAAATCAAGTGAATGTGCACCTGTCTTTTCATAAAGGAGTTTAGAGTTGGATGTCTCAATTTTACATACAAGTGCAAAAAGCAAATTTTACTCACCAAGATTAAGATTTCTGTTTCTGCTTCAAACTTGGCAGGGAACATGTCACGACGCCTACGGGGAAGGGTCATGTGATTGCACTATCCCAATTGCAATACACAGGGTGTTCCAATGCAAAACAATATCCCAATTGCAATACACAGGGTGTTCCAATGTGCCCCGGTCTCCCCTACATAATGCATACGGAATCTCGGATAAGAATATTCACAGTACTAATTAGACACCATAAATACATACCTTATCTATTATCTGTTGAACACAGTCTGATTTGCATATAACGATGAAGTTAAACAAATCTCGAAAGCTATCCAGGTTATTTGTATTGATTGACGTCCTCATAATGCTTTCCAGGTGATTTGCACTATCATTTAGGTAAAACCTCATGGAAGTGAAGCCTCGGATACTGACAGCAGATGACAGGTGGTTGACATCTTCATCTATTTAACAAGGTATACAATATAGCTACCGCACATTGATGAACAGTAAATAAATTGAATAATAAGATTTTCAAAGGATTCAAAATAGTAACATGACATTGTAGCTGTATCTCGTTTGACTAAATATTATCACATTTTCTTCAACAATATAATATAAGCAACTTGATTATCTTTGATGAAATTGTCAACCAACTGGTTTGTATCTTAAGGACATCCATATGCCTCAGAGTCGAATTGATTATTGACCTATGTCGGAAATTAATACACATTAGAAAATACTTCTTTCGAAATTCTAAATGCCAGTTTAAAATAGTGGTATTTGCAAATGTAATGTACGAAAGGCCGAGTTGTTTTCCAGTTTAAAATTGCTAAACATTTGAAATGACACTCTAATTATCATCATCAATATTTTTCATATTGTATTTGATCGTAAAAATTGATTTCTGTATAATTTGTGAAAATGGTCTGTGAAAGTGATACAAACCCTAATTGATGTAAACATCAACCTAGAAATTACGTACGTCAAATTTGACGTAACATCGTGTTTACAGCATTCGTGATGACAAGACTTAGTGGCACATATTTAATGAACTTTGACACATACATTATACAGCTTAACCATATCAGAAGGAAACGACAAGGATCATATAGAAGACGCGTGAGGTCTCTAACGCTTTTAGTCAAATTCATGATTTCACGAACACATACAGACAGAAACGGTAAACAATCTCTTTGGCAGAGGATAATGAACAACTTCCAATTAGACAATTGATTCATTACTCCAGTGTCCAGTGCCCGATCCCTGATGAATGATAAGTGTTAGATTTTAACAATGGCCACTATTCTTAAACATATTTTATTGTCCAAAAAGACAAAGGGATTGGGCACAAGTGCAGCACTTATTACCGCCTTCTCCATATTATGTTATACATAATATTGCATAATGAAAATGAACAATTTACAGTTGAAGCTTCACACTGATGGTTGAAGCAGGGCATTTCTGCAATATTTTGATGAAACAAAACATTTTATACATGTGTTTGCACATTGGATACACTTAGATTACCAGACGATACCGTTTTTATTACAAGCTTTCGCTCGTTTTATACGTTTGGAATCACTAGATGTAAAAGAAACGGTATCCAACGGAGACGCGTGTAGTAATACATTCGATCATAGAATATTCTCTAAAAGGTGACACCTGGAAATAAAGTGCGCAGCTTTCTCCAATATCGGTCATAGGAAACGGTAAGATGCCGATTCTAAAATGGTGTTCATAATACACTGAACCGCAAAAGAAACGTCACCATGGGTAGATAAATGAGAAACTGTATTTGTCCAAACACTGTAAACATACTTTGAGACATATTAAAAAGATGAAATTTTTCAAACCTGATCATCAAGGTTGAAATTAAAGTGTCAAATGTTCTTAAAGTGAAACACAACAATAGTCTCTGAGAAAATAGCACCACAAGTCAGTATCTCGTGTGTCCGCCATGTGCATTGATGACTGCCGTGCAACGTCAATACATGGAATGGATGAGGCGGTTGATGAAGGCCATAGGCACTTGAGCTCCCTGAGGAACGCCTGACGCAGTTCAGCTGTAGTTGTCTGCCTTGGTCGGACGTCATTTAGCCGTCTTTGAATCTCGTCCCATAGTTGCTCAGTTGGATTTAAATCGTGACTGAGGGCAGGCCACTGTATGGTTCTGATGCCATTCTGCTGGAGGAAGTCTCTTGTTCCTCTCACAGTTTTGGCACGGGCGTTATCATGCTGAAACTCGTGGTTGCGGGCAAATGAGGTATGGCGTGTGGTCTCAAGACTTGATCAATGTACCGAGCCGCTGTGACACCATTGCCTCTTTCTGGACCGATGTTCTGGACGACTACAGGGCCAATCCTCTGTGCAAGACCAATTCCACACCACCATATGCTGCTCGGACAACCCCACAAGTCTCTCTCAACAACACAAGCATCCGAATAGCGCTCCCCACGGCGTCGCCAGACTCTCTCTCTCTCTCTCTCTCTCTCTCTCTCTGCCATCTGATGTTGAGATACAGTGACAGCTCTCATCTGAGAAGAGGACTCTTCTCAACTGTTGGTGGCGCAAATGCCCACTGAGGACGGTCCCGGCGATGACGTGGTGTCAGAATGAGTCCTCGGTGTGGCCTGTGACAGTGGAGGTGTCTGCTCGTCAATCGTCGACGCACGGTGTCCGCACTAATGTGTCGCTGGTGTCCCCGTGATCCGTCGAGCAGATACCGCAGCAGTAACAAAGCGATCTTGAAGATGCTGTCGCACAATCTGACGATCCTGACGTCGGGTGGTGACCCTTGGTCTTCCACTACGTGGTCAGACATCTGTAGTGTTGGTGGTCTGGTACCGTTGCTGCAACCTGTATATTGTCCTTACGTGGACTTGAAATGCATTGGCTATTTGCCGGGCGGTTTGTCCAGTTTGCAATCGTCCAAGGGCTTGGTGTTGCTGATTTCTTGTCAGTCTTGGCATGTGGCAGCAATTCAACGACGAATGGATGTTATCTGATCTGGGTTGATTTTTATAGGACAAGAAATGGAGGAACGCATGTGCATTTCAATTTACACGGAACTCACGTGTATCGGGTTACCATGGCCGTTGCCGTGATGCGTTTGGGCGATCGGTTTTATTGTCATCTGCTTTTGGGTTTTTATCATCAAATTTCATTTTTCCAGCCAAGGTAATGTTAAATTTTAGAAACTTTGACAAAAATTACCCAGATATTTAAATGACAACTTTTCATGCAATGTTACTTGGGATGACGTTTCCTTTGCGGTTCAGTATAGCATTTATATACACAGACATCACCTAGGTAAGAACATTTGCGTTCAACGGAAACTCTAGCTTCAAACTCGTTTCAGTGTAGGTGAGCCGTGAGGGGAACCCGCGAGACGGTAGACTCATTGAGTCATTTCATGGTGGCTGTGTGATTTCATACGAGCATATGGTTCATTGCTTATGAAATTGGTTGTAATTACCATTGAACTACAAGATCTGTTCATTTTCGGAGCACGAATAATTCACAACACTAGATTGCACCTGTTGACATTAGGACGACATTTCTAATGACTGTCCACTTGGTCCAAGAAACGCTACACACATTTTCAACACGAAGTTCAAGGTCGTTAGTAGACGCGGTAATAATCTCTCGACACAATGTTTTGTTTATTAATGATAGTCTGAACCTTAATAATTCCACGATACGTGCACTACTACAATGCAAAGTGATAGTCAGACTACTATTACTATGTCAAACAAATTTGTTCGCGAGTCCTGCGATGGGCAATTGCTAAAACTCACGGACTGCGTTGGCAGTTTTGAGATGCATGTGGAGTGTGTCTGTGCATCTATGGTGTTTTGTGAAAACTAGTATTGTCGATCGGGAGTAGATTATCTGTCTAGGAGTAGTGTAGATGTTGCGGAGCACAGTTGCACAGTGCTACCGACGTTCAGCTGATGTGAAAAATAGTCCAGTTTGCACGTGATGATATTAAACACTGTGTAATAAATCTGCATTGTCATTAAACGGGGATCTCTTCACGGGTGAGTCATTAAGGAACCAGGTGAAATGCTAATTACTTTCTATCTCTATTATGGATATGCAAAGGACTATTGTGTAGATTTTATCATGTCATGAATTATAATCGACGAGAACAACTATTTGTTTATCATGTGTATTAATATTAACAAATTCAGATTTGACATAGACATGTAAGGCCTTCTCAGCTTCTCCTAAATTGTGAATCGAGTATGACAAAGGAAACATTGTCTTCACAACAGACAACAACGTCAATATCTCTATAAATAATTACCTAAATTACCGTATGTAAAGTGACGTCCCTAGACATATATAGAATATTACGAAACATCAACAGTCTTTTATAAAAAAATAAAAAAACTGACCTAAGATGTCTTCAAAAAGAAGAAAAATATTCGAGGTGTCTGTCAAATCCATTGAACGCAGCAATGCTTGATGTATTTCCATTTGAGGAGCACACCCCGACTGGGCAAGTTGCACTAAAACACATTCAAATTGGACAGACTCTGAGACGTAGTTCAAAAGCAATGAATGATACATATAAGTATTTTGAATAACGGCTGTTTTGTAATTACAACATAATCATTTTATTATCCTTTGAATGTAAGATTAATGATACCATGGAAAAAGACTCGATGTGTTCTTCTATAACGAATATACACGCCATTGTGTAAGTTATTGACGTTATACTACAATCAGGGCGCCGTTGCACAAAGTACTAAGACGATCGTAACTCCCATACTTTAACATAGACTTAGGGCGGGGCCCGGGTTACTGAACAAGAAGCGGTATACCAAGGATTGCTGTGAAGCATCTGTCTAATAAAGTAAGGTAGGCTATACTTTAAATATGTTGAAGGCATACTTACATTTAGTGAATATATCAAGGATTATGGGAAGAAAAATGACAACGATACTCATCTTGCTGCAACAAGCAGGGAGTCAAGGAGATGCAGACAGCAGGAGTAACCAGGATAAAGAACAGCCTGCATGAAAGGCGTTTTCCATTTATTCACACATACAACTTACTTTCCATCGGTGAATGTCTGGAGGCTTAATGATAATCAATACACATGTATTTGGAAATCTTATCAGACACAAATGAATTGTCAATGTTTAAACGGTTAAAAGTATGTAAATTCATTCTGTTTGGAAATTAGTTAGGTTTCCGTTCGTTCAATCGATCACAAGAGGATGGAGCATACAATGTTAATGAGCGTTCAATAAAACCTTACGAACTGTATTAGTTCGAAAAACAAATTACATCTGAGAATAAGTACTTAGATTCCTGTACAAATAAAAACGACAAAGCTCTGCTAAAAGCTCGGTCTGTCTTTATGAATCACTATCCAATATTGAAGACAGTAGGTTTTCGCGAAATGATCCCACCGGTGGCTCCCATCACAAACACATGCAAAATCAAGCCAATTCATCACCTGAAAAGCACGAGATCATATGGTATAAGTCCAAAGAGGGAATTGCTACAGACACCATTTCTATCACTGATACGTCAAATTTGGAAATATCCTTCACATGTCTACCATACTACTTTTTGAAAGCTTCACATAGGCCTTGATCAAACAACTCTTTGAAATATTCGCAGAAAGAACATGCTCGATTGTACGGTGTTTTTGTACAAATATCTAACGTGGCACGAGAGTTCCAGTCGCGTAAGCCGCCGCAAATGCGTGCTAGCAACCTATGATCGAAGGTTCGGATCCCGGTTCGCCCTGATTATATTTCTAGGTTTGTCAGCACCATACCCGTATGAGTTTCACCACGAGATTATTTCAAAGATCTGCAATACTTCCGTCTTTCCTCCAACATCAGGCTGCCACGCCGTAATGTTTAAAGGCGTCCCACTCACTCACTAAACGTATGTCTGAAATTCAAGTTAAGTGCTTACACATTAATACCTGATAAAGCGTTCGTAAAATGTAGTTCTGAACAGACGATGTCGTGAAATGAATGGGCGATCGTTTTGCCAAAAGGGTGATAACTCTCCTATTGCAATGATATAAGCGACGTTGCAACCTGTTGCTTGCTGGATGGTTCCAGGCTCAATGTGAACTGCGACAAATTGTGACATAGAGAGACGTAGACATGCTAAAACGGTACCCTTTTGCATCTGAATTCGGAAACGATCGTTTACAACTGAATATCTTGAACTAGCTAATGTGTTCTAATGATTGTTAGTTTAGAATAACAACATTTGTTCAGTCTTCAACTAAAACACGAATTGACACGATGGAAGATAACTGGGGGAAACGCCATTCTGTCAGTCTAGAGCAACGTCGCATCGATAATCCACCCTTACTTTATTTATCAGCCTTTGTTCTATTTCCTACGAAAAGGCCTTAACCTTTGCCGCATTCATCCTTTTACCACGGATCTATAATTACTATAAATCCGTGCCGACGAGAAAAACTATTTTTATTTTCGTTCCTGTTACATCAACATTTCCTCTCAAATCTGATTTCATTTCTTTGAAATCTGACAATATTTTAGAAATATACCAAATGCAAATCTACCATGAATTATCTATGTGATTGGGAACTTGAAAATTCAGTCCAGAATGTCTAAACATAAGAGGCTCATGATGCAAATAAAAATTAGCTTTATCTATTGTAATCGTCTGATCCTTGCCATAGCAAACTGGATGTACATCAAATTGTTTGAAGTTACAACACTTTTCATACAATTATCATTACAGAGATTGAAAATAAGTATACATATATTGTTGTTAATTTATAAGATGAAAATATGTAGTTGGTAACGTATTCAAACCACAAATAGGCTCTTCTGTGTCTGAAAAAAATAAATTCTTCTAATGTTCAAAATGACAAAATTGGTACAGTAATATCTCACTTATCTTAATTGAGATGTAATCTTTGCAGCAACTGAAAACAAACGGCTACCGTTCACCCATACCATCTTTTTTAAACACCATGCACCAACACTGACACAAAATGGATTTCAGTGATTTCCGTCTGTGTTATTTTGAACCTTGTATTATGATGGGTAGTTGACGCACAATTTGTCAGTGCCTGTTTCTAGAATAGTTTCTTGAACATTGTTTTCTCACCTCTCTCGGTTTTATTCCCAGTAAAATGAATATACTAAAAACGAACATATATGTTGAAACAATTTGAAGCTCGTAAACAAATTAAAAAAGCATGTAAAGTTATAGATTCATTGGTCAAGCATCTTCTGAGGAGAAATATACTTTCAAAGAAAAGCACAGTGGTGACGATAATATTATCGCTTCTGCTCATCGTGCTCAGAACGACTACCCTTACGTACAAAATCTTTTGTACAAACTCATTTGACAGTTCAACAATAATAACAAAAACGTGAGTGGCCTCCCCCTGGAGAACTCGCTGACTGAAGAGGAAACGTACGATTCAGATGTAAACAGTGACGCCAGCAATATCCTTTCCGATTGGCTAATCAGTCAATGAAGCTGAGGATAAGTCAGCATCACTGAAATATACTAGTATTGACAGTTGACCATGACAGGCATTTCATTAACGTGGGACGTACAGCTGGTTGAATCTTATGCTCTCGTGATTGCTTCCTCAAGTCCTTACACTAATCGGACATAATCCGGGGATGCTGCGGGCTGTCAAAGTTTAATTCGCAAGTAAACAAGACGGATATGATTAATCCACCGACGTGACGATACTCGTGGACGTGTTCGGTTAATGGTGTTGCCAGCCTGTTGACAACCAAAACCATTAAGCATCAAGAATTACAATTGGTCACAACCGCACATTTCAAACAGGCGTGATATTTATGAGGTTTGGCCGTCAACAAAGTTGCTTTTCACCGTTAACACACTTCAGTCATTTAGCCTGTAAATTGACGTGTACTGTGAATATATGTGACGAATTTCTTTCTCATAGGATTTTATGCATGTAATGACCGGGATGCATGTGCAGTTTTAGGGTCATCATTGGTAATCACCACAAAGCATTTGCACATGCGATTATCATGCATGATTCCGAAACATCCATAGCAATATAAGGAAGAGATTTTATGGATGTCAACTTCTTTATTATGAGGAACTCAACGTTTCAGAGCATATGCTTACTCCTTCACCAGGTGAATGAATGCCATGAGGCCATGAGTAAGCATATACTCCAAGACGTTTTGCTCCTCATAATAAAGAAGTTGACATCCATAAATTCTCTTCCTTATATGACTTCTAAATGCCTTTCAAAGACCTAATACCAATATACTTTTAATGCGATTATTTTAAGCTGCACAATATTTTTTCCGCTAGTATATTATTCCTACTTAGGGGGTCATGGAACCTAGTTGTTTATGGTACTGCAATTCGCTGGGTAGAACTGTGTCACTCAGGCTTGCCAGTAACCTATGGTCGTGGGTTCGAATCCAAGATTTGCCCTGATAATGTTTGTAGATTTATCAGCACCACACACTTGATCGTGTGTTTCACCAAACGTGGTAAACGTCAGAGACTTGCATATGCATCACTGGGGTTTTCCTCCCAAATCGAGCTGAGAGTGGCGGTAACCACAACAAAGTCACAATTCAAGAAATAATTTCTCCGTTATTAATGTGACACTGATGTAATTCAAACACTGTTCAAAGTGGCGTTACATCCAACTCACTCTCTCCCTCAATAATCCTACTTTATATACGTTTACAGAATTTGTGGCAACTGTTCGTAGCCTTTCGATGCGGAATTGTTCATTTATTTTTAATTCCATGTTACTTAAAATCTAATTTGCTACCGAACAACAAATCTATATTTACTATGGGCCTATAGTCTTTCAGTAATGAAATACATCATTCATTTTTCACATTTTTCTGACTTCATAAATCGTTGATATATTTTAGGTGGGTTTGCAATATGTGCTGTTATCCCTTCATTCCTGATCATACATATTCTTGGTTTTACCAAAAGGCTAAATATAGCAACAATCCTATGTCGTGTCTTGAATAATGATTTACCAAACCATTTTTTGCATAAGAAGAACATGTAAAAATGCATTATAGGGAAATAATTAAGAAATAGTCTTAAGAAAGAGAAACCAAACTTTTGTTAGATGAAGTAACACACATTTACTGCACATATGAACACTTGAAGTAATGCCATAATGCAAATAGGACAACAGTGGACACGTGTCCAATATGAAGAAATTACACGGAAAATGACGAACATCAAGGTAATGAGAACTCAACATATCTGGTATCTAGTGTCCACCATAAGCATCAAGTATCCCCTGCCGATACGACCAACACATCGGTGAATGTTAGCTAGCTCGGCCTTTAGTAGATGTGCAAGCTGTTGCAGGGTCCGTGGTTCAGGATGTCGTCGTACGAGGCGACGCGGATCAAAACTGATTATTCAAAGGGCCATGGGAGGATTTGTACACTATAGTTCCGTAGGTATGCTGCTGCCACGTGTGTTGTTTGGGGTCGAATTGTGTTGTAGAAAGATGAGCGTGGTTCCTTGTGTAACCTACGGCTGTAGCAGTTCATCACACTAGCATTAGGCTGTTAATTTGCACCAGGTTTGTTCGACCAGTGTGGGAGACTCAGTCCAGATCATTTCGCTTCCACCGTCAAATCTGTCGACCAACCCTATGGAATCGGTGGCAAATTTTGATGATGACGACGTACACCCTTGACACGTCGCTGAACCAAACAGTCCCCCATCGCTGGTTAAGCCATATATTGCGTAACATCACCGTTGTCGCAGCTAACTTGTTCACATTTGCTGGAAATAACATAGCCGTATGAAGTGGTCCTGGGCGGAGTCGGCATGACGTGGGTTGGACACGTGATGTCTCATGCTGATGTAACCAATACAAAGTGCTTTCGGACATATTGATTAACCAAGGGCGCAATAGTCAGAACATTCAACTTTGCCCAACACGTGACTTAGGTTCACTGACAACGCACGTTTAAAATGCTGAAAATGCAATTTCACTCCAGAAATTGTAGGGACTTTCTTTTTCATATCTGACGGTAGTCAAATGGGTGTACATATTGAATTTCTTACTACGTTTCACCTGAAGACGATTTCATGTGTGCATTTAACCTGTTGTGTAGTATGTAGGTAAGATTTTAACATTATTTTATGTTCGCCTAAGCTTTTTGATAATGAGCTCTGTTCCAAGAATACACGCAGCTAGTATAATTCCGGCAGCACATGCTACCAAAGCACTTTGCAATTTAGCTATGGTTAGTGGTTTTACTTGCGTCGAAGTATCATGAATCTCTTGCTTATTGGTACTCCACTTTTTGGTCCAGCCATCAAGCATTCCATTATCATACAGTAACATGAGTCTGAAAATAGAAATGAAAAGTAAGATTCAAATTAGTATCTGTCCATGTCTATCATTATTTACGATGAATGCGTCTGCATGGTGTAGATGTTTAAGCTTGGCCACAAATATGTTCCCTCTTCGGCAGCTTTGAGTCAACAATCATTTTGGATTAGATATGTGACAAAATCCCTTATTGCAAACGAATAATATACATGATGTTATTCATGGTGCAAAATCTACATACTTCTCTGAAAACAGATCAGCAAGCGGCGAGTTGAGAGGAAAAGGCAAGCTCAGTCCTATGTTGATTACGATTCCTTTCATTACTCTCAAGTCCTTTATTTCTTGTTCGATTGCAGCTATGACAGTTTCCACTTCAATTAGAGCATGGTTTCCAGACTGAAGGAGTTTTATAAATTCTTGATGCTCGTTTAAGGAACTGACGATTTCGGTGGTTCTACTTGCGACAGCCTTTTTCCATAAAGCCTTCATAATAGAGTCGTTAGAATGCTGCCAAAATAAGAATTATCAGATTCATTTAAATAAAATAGTATGTGTATATTCGGTAAGTTTAATGCGTTTGGAATTAAGGGTTTTTGTACATGTGTAAAATGTTAACCGTTCCATTCGTATCCCACTTTTAATCATATATTCATGTGCCAGTGAAAGACGTTACACCTATATTTGAATTAATGCTGCCAAACATGTTAGACATGGGAAACATGGGTAACTATGAATATGCTATTCAGACCCCTACCTTCACCGCATCTTCAATGTATGATCCTCTTGGTACACTTAATGAGAATTCAGTGTTTGTGGCGAGTTCTTCTAGATTTTTAAAAGGCACCTTTTCTCTAACCACAGCGAGGATTGATATGAGATTCCCCATGTATACAGACGTGATGACTATACAGAAAAACCACCAGAATGTGTAAAAGACACGGCTCGGTAATTTCCTAGGTAGATATGACAACCCTAAAATAGAAACAATATTTAATATCATATATTTAGCAATTATTTTTTTATGGACTACTCTACTAAGATTCATGTTTATGCCATATGGCGTCAAACATTAAAGAAGAAAGGTTTTAGTTTGGATTCATAGAATTTATGATTTGATATTACTGGTAAGCTATATAAGAAAAAACCTGAAATACTTTTTAACACTGTGTACTTTCTATGAACGAGGTAATATACTAAGTAAGGATAAGAATGTATGGATGAACAACTTCTTTATTACAATTAAGAGTAATAAAGAAGTTGTTCATCCATAATTTTACTTAGTACTCCAACTTCTAAATGCCTTTCAAAGAAGAGATAATATACCTTGACGCAATGGCACCTGGATCGCGATAATGATACTTAACATCGTTGTCGATGAGCTGGGTGGTTTTCTTCTGTGCCCAACGTCTCGAGGTCCAACGTCAATTTCCTCCATTACTTTGAAAAGTCCCATACACCATAACATGGCACATATACCGTATAAATAAACTTCCAGACTAAAGCAGGACAAAAGTGAAAGCCAGGCTGTTTCTTCATCTTTGGGTTTCTTGTACAGTACACGATATGCTGAGAACTGTATCATGTATGAGTATGTTACTACCGTTGACCTCTCCATTGTTATGCCAAATGGCACCCCGGAAAGATCAGCTTCCTGCAAACAAGCACATAAGCAGCCACTGTGAGTGTATCAAACGTGTTAAGCTATGAATGTTCCCTTTTCCTTGTAAATCTCTCCTACTGCCCTACTCTCAGGCTGTTATCTTTTTCCGTCATGTAAATGTAAATCTCTTCTCCTGCCAAGCTATTATGTTTTCCTTCATGTAAATCTCTCCTCCTGCCCCACTCTCAGATTATTATGTTTTCCTTCATGTAAATGTAAATCTCTTCTCCTGCCCCACTCTCAGATTATTATGTTTTCCTTCATGTAAATGTAAATCTCTTCTCCTGCCCCACTCTCATATTATTATGTTTTCCTTCATGTAAATGTTAATCTCTTCTCCTGCCCCACTCTCAGACTACTATGTTTTCCTTCATGTAAATGTAAATGTCTTCTACAGCCCCACTCTAGCCGCGAATAGCTGGAATATTGCTGTTGCGGCTTAAAGCAACATTTACTCACTCACTCACTCTACAGCCCCACTGTCAGGCTAATATGTTTCTCATCGCGTAAATATAATTCTCTTATCCTGCCCCACTCTCAGACTAGTATGTTTTCCTTCATGTAAATGTAAATCTCTTCTCCCGCCAAGCAATTATGTTTTCCTTCATGTAAATGTAAATCGCTCCTACTGCCTTACTGTAAATTTATTATGTTTTCCTTCACATGTAAATGTAAAGCTCTTCTACTGCTCCACTGTCAGTCTATGTATGCCTTACTTCATGTAAATCTCTTCCGCTGCCTTCTGTCAGGCTATACTATGCTTCCTTGTAGCAAAAATATGTATCAGTTCAATTGTTTTTCCTGATATTATGAAAATATGTTTTGCTGTGTAAGCCTTCCAGGTTGATTTTTTTATTGTTCGATGGTTTGTCATGGTTATATTTCCTATTTGTGATTGTCTTTGACTACCCTACCGTTTGTCACGCTCTGTGTGTTTTCCTATACGTAAATCCTACGTTTTCTACGGGCTATAGATACCTGGTTTCCTGCATGTAAACATGGTTTGACAGTCCTGTTTGTCAGACCATGTATGACTTCCTACACGAAAACCTCCTTTACAGTTCTATAGGTTGGCAGTGTGTTTTTTACCCTGCAAAAAAACTTCCAGCATACATTGTGCTTCCACAAATGTGTAATTGCATGTAGAAAAGAGTTTTAAATTCTTCAGACTGTGATCTTAATTAAAACAATTGACAGTGTAACATTGAAACTGCTCACATTGCGGGCTATCATGCCTAGTAATCCACTCCATGATGTGTTGGGAAGCCGCTTACCCCACGATGTAACAGATGGCTCAATAAACACATAACTGAAATCATATGTAGTAGTTTGTTTACAATGCATCATGCAACAATGCAACAGAGAACATAGACCAATTAAATGACATTGAACAACTATTTTATATCTAAAAGCGCACAAAATCACAAAAAGGGGTAAACAATACATGTGGGTATATGCTTATTCAGCAGAGTATTAAATTATTTAAATACATAACCATATTCCTTTTAAAGATTGAATTTACCCTGGTGTTTTAGTTCGATTGAGCGTGGGTCTCTGAAGTTATTTTAAGATGTCATAATTCATTACATTTAAATTTGCGCGTCCGCCCGGAGAGCGGAAGGTCCGGGGTTCGATACCCGGTCGCGTCATTCCAAAAGACGTTTAAAGATGGTACTTGCTGTTACCCTGTCTGGCACTAGACCGCCTTCGTAGTCTAATGGTAAAGAGTCCGCCCGGAGAGCGGAATGTCCGGGGGTGTCGATCCCCGACCGCGTCATACCAAAATATGTTAAAAGCTGGTACTTGCCGTTACCCTGTCTGGCGCTCGGCATTAAGGGGCTAAAACAAGGACTGGTCGGCTCGGAGTCAACATCTGTGTCTGAGTGGGGAATTCATGTTAAACTGCGGCATGGTATCTCAGTGGGCTGGCACTATAAACCGGCATCAGTCCGGACTAGTACAAGCAGCCACACAAACACAAACGTGCATGGACGTCGCTATAATCTTGGACGCGACGTTAAACTCCATTTCACTTCACCACACCACATTTGAATTGGCAGGTTATAGATACTGACTATCAGTTTTGGTGTCTGTATCTCATGTAATCGTACGTTCATGTGTACAAATATAAAGGGGTAATAGATATACATAAAAACTACTTCAGACTCCCAGAGCTCTCTTGATCAATGTATTGTGTTTGCAATGAATGCTGAAGAAGTCAAATAGTCTATATCACGGAACTACAGTCTATATTATTCATATTCAGTGTATGACCACATTTTCTGTTTACCATTAGTAAACAGTAATAATCGTATACAACCTATTATGGTTAACGATTTCATATATTTTTACTTTGTAACTTTACCAATAACGTTTACAAGAAAATAATACATTTGAAACATGAGTGTACCGAGGATGTGTACTGGAACAGTTAAAATAGTGATGAGTTCAAAACAGTCTTTGACAAACTAAGCAGTACTACTCACCTAAAGTTGAGAAATGCCGCTAGACTGTCAAAAAGATCCCTGCACACATGGGTGTATGTTACAGGGTGAAGCTTTGGAGATTGCACTTTCTTACAGTAATCAACCCACTGAAATATATGGCACGTGGTGATCGTATGTTTCCAACATACCAGCAATTTAGAATTTAGATAAAGTCGAATTACGGATGTTTTCACTTATCTGATCAAGGGGCAAAAAAAGTCTTGAAACGTTGTAACAAACAATAAAGAAGTTTTTATCCATAAATGTTTAATGTCTTCATCTGTTTTCAACTTCTGTATGCCTGTCAAAGAATTAACCTCTCCGGTTGTATATACATAGCTAACAAAAGAAATACCAGACAATATGACTCAGACCTGCAGACATAAGCACATTTATTGACATTTAGATGCATAGCCTGTTTTCAAACTAAACAGTATATATATTGTTAGTCTGATAGTTTGCGATGTGGTCACGTCTACGTTTGAATACAGCCACTGTGGCATTGCCTATGTATTGATATATAACGCACATACTTTGCCTGCCACTGTCGAATAGAGTATCTACCGTGTGTATCTGTTTAACTGGTCATTACAGAAATCAGATGAAATACATACAATTTCTATGTATATGAAGATGTTTCGTTATACCTAAATATCATACTCTTTTGATTGTCTTGAAAAACATATATTATCTAAACGAATCGTCTTTTACAAACAATCTGTGAGATTAAATATAATTAGCCTGTCCAGAAGGTTCAACTCAAAACAGAGGCATTTTCATCAGTTAAAGAGTGTTGCTGAAATGCCTGCCTTAGGTAAGGTTAAAAAACTTTTAGGCCGACCAGTTTGTAATAATGTGTCTGGAAACAGAGATCATACAGGAATTATGCTCAATTAACTAAAACTCAAATACACTATTTCCAAAGTATTCCATAAGCTACAAGGTTGAATGGATGATAACTACAAAGTTGCTTGCAGTTCAACTTGCACATTGAAACTAGTACTGTTATAGCCTTGATCATCATTCAATCATTACTACATCATATTGTAGGCATTATATCAACATGTCTATTTACTTAGGGAGATATCTGTATGCTAGACAAAGACTTTCCCTTTGGGTGTTATCTGCACAGAGAACATCGTGTAGAAACTCACCTCTAAAACAACAATAGTAAGCTTTCTACCGTTTAATCCCCTTCGTGCATTTGGAAAAATTGATATATAGCTTGTTGATGTGTTGGTTACATTGCACGGTTCACCAATGCGTGTCCACTCTCGTCCAGTGCTTGTCCACTGCAGCGTCATCACATGTGTGCAAGTGAAACTGGAACTATTCTGATTCTGCACCTTGTTTAATAAGATATTATTGTTTTTAAATAATCTTACGAAATTTACAGCCATATTTGTCACGAAGCATTTAAGGTCAATAAACACATTCTTTCCGTTGATTCATTTAGTTTGATTTAGTACATGGTCTTGTTCTGGTGGTATTTATATGCGGTTGACTTGAACTATGAAAATGATACCGAAATCTTGGTTTACGGATTTCAAACTCATTTCAAAAGTGAGGGAGGCCAATTTACAAAAAAAAAGCCTGAGAGATTGTTTATACTTGAATTTTGTCCTAAACCAAGAAATAAAAATATGTTGCCTAATCACTGACTACAGAAACTTATAGATGAAGATAATTGAGATTTGCCGTATAAACAAATGTGTAGATATCATTCGGTAATGTTTATCAAACATTTACATCAATCTGATTTTGTCTAATTAGTGTTGCCGAATACAAACTTACCTGAGACAAGATCAGCTTAATCGCAAAAGCCACATTATCGATTTCAGTGTCGATAGCACGGGGCAATGATGTGGCCTGGTAAGGGTGAACGAAAAGCCATTTTGAGAAATGTCGGAAAAGCGCTCGTTTGCCATATCTTCTGTCTTTGTCTGAAACCTTGCAGTTATTGAAAACGTGTAAATACAATACTGCTTCCTTCAAAGCATCTTTACCAATAGTCTAATCAATCTCGATCTTTATGGTCGAAAATATAAATATAATTATGGTAATCGGCGGAACAGGTCACCAAGTTTATGTAAAGTACAGGTGAATACCTTGGTCCAGTTCCATAAAGGGCTACAACTGTTGTAAGTCAACCTTAATGTCTAGGAATTTAGTGTCTTAGCACTAAGATCGCTTTGCGGTGCTTTACATGAGTTTCGGATGTATTTGTTCACCCAGATATATATTTTTTAGCAATATGCTTTTCCAGAGACGTTAAAAGATGGTAGCTGTTTTGTAACCCTGCCTTGTCCACGGCATCAACAAGGAGAGGCATGAACAACTCGCTATCTAAGTGGAATTATATTGAGGGAGACGTCAAACCCAATTTCAATTCCCCTCAAAGTCAAAGTGAGCCGACTGTTATATAATATAATATCGTGAGTCTAAAATGATCATCGAGAATGTGTTAAACATTAGATATCCAACATGTATATCATTCTGTTGACAAACATTGTTCCTTGTCGTTCCAAAGAAGCCGGGAACTTTCAACGTGCGGATAGTTTGAAAAATCTCTTCTGGGTAGAAAATACAGTTTTGATATTACAAGTATTTTAGTAAACATTCCCATAAGTTCTTGCACCAGTTGTCTTGCTTTCAGGGGAGATTGTTTTCAAGATTCAACAATGTGAATATTCAATGAATATGAAAGAGTAATCTTTGCATTACGACGCCTCACCAATCATGCAGGTATAAATTCGAGAAATGACATCATATGTAGCCCCAAGAAATATAATGGACCATATATACTTGGCATAAGCAGAAAAAGAGACAATTTACATACCATATCAGTAATGCCACTCAAGCAATCACTTGTTCTCTCACAGATTACAATAAAATTGAGTTGTTTACGGTAAATGCTGATTTTGTTCTTTTGTATGATAGTAGTCGTGACTGTTGTAAGAAAGTCGTCAAGGTTGGCCAGAGATACGGACATCAAGGTCATCCTTTTGTCACGTGCCCATTCTTCTATAGTGTTTGTTGTTTCCATGCCTGTAACATTGTATGAGACAAATGCAGAAAGTTTGCCTTGCCTATGAAATGCAATCTTGCGTCGATGATGACTTATTCGCGAATGTACGTAAACCTTTAATATGTTAATCTAAGAAATAATTGTCGGGTGCATTTAATATGTCCGCTAGAGACGAGGAACAACATATTCATAATATGAGAGTGCGTGAGTTCAAATTTTCCGTCGTATTAGCAAATCTTTCACAATAAATTATCATATATAGATGTCTTTATAACTCTATTATCCATCTAGGATACAGGTAAGACGGATATTAACTAAATAATCCAAATCATAGGTAACACAAATAAGCGCATTTATATGTATCTGATTGCATCACTTACATATTGAATCCCCATGAATGTACACCAGTGTGGAGCCAATGTCTAGAGTCATCAAATTCAATAAACCGCTCAGCTCTGGGCCTCCAAACAATGACTTGTGTGAAGCTGTTGAAGACAGGATATTTGTATTTGTATGTACGTGATGTTTTCACTGCATAAACTGCTACCCTAAAGCATCGTTTAAGTAGGTCACAGAACATGAGAGAGAACTGTGACTGGTACGTTTTATCAATACCGCTATTCCATACAGTTTATCTTATAGTTTCAGTTACACGACATACTGTACACGAACACGCCTTGCGATACAGTGTAATGTTCCTTATGGTATATAAAGATATATCAGATCCTTCCATCACGAACGATAAATGTAAGCGTTCCCATCAAGCATGTTATACTTGAATTGTCTCTCTCTGCACATCGTTTACAATGTTTTCGCTCTCATATATGTTTGAAACAAACGTCATTTTCCATTACAACATTAGAACCCCAACGGTAATAAATACAAATTTTATTATATATTATCCTTATTTTATCAATACGATAACACTACACTCACGTTATTAAATTACAGTTTTCCCTAAATGTGAGGCACGCACAGAATGTCTGTAAGCAAATAATCGTATGAAAAAATACTTACCTGCTGTGTTCATAACATAGCCTCTTGAAATCATCAAACATGCGGTGATTATAATTGCAAGTTTTGACACCAACATGTTTCATGCAACGTCTTTATCAACGTGTCCTAAAGATATTGACCTTCAAAGATAGTGCTCGGACTTCCAGTAGCTTATAGCTGCACATACGGCAGGTATGGATTGTGGCCTGGGCAGTATGCGGAAATGTGAATACCTCCATATATATGTGTGTGTGTGTGTGTGTTAACTACTCTCTTCAGTAAATAGTTCAGCTTAATGCAACACAGATCGTTAAGAAGATGTTGAGGGAGCACGTGCAGATACGAATTTATCTGCCATACTATTTATCTATCAATAAACTTTTGAACACACAACAAATATTAATTTCTGTAGGTGAAAGTAAAACAAAGCCATGTAAGGTAATCTGATCCCATCCGTACATTAGTAACATGAGAGACTAGTGAATAAGCTGTGCCTAACGCCACTTTAAGCCAGGAGCAGGGGTTTAGTGTCATTAAACAAACCAAGGATTCTAACCCACTTTAAGCTCAGAAGATTCCCGAAACATCAGGGTCATGTAATTAACTACAAACTAATTATTCAAACATACACATCACAATACATATACAATACATATATACAATCTGCAAACAGTGAGAAATATTGCCCTTATTATTGCCACACATGGTTTAAAATATTCTTTATGTTATATAAAATATCTTTAATAGAAACATGCGTCATTACTCCATCAATATCATTGTTATCTGCACAAAAACAACAATGCTAACATTTCATGATCTTCCATCTCTATTTTGAAACACGTTTCATTTTTGTTTTGTTTAACGACGCACTCATGTGCCTGCATGATAAAGAAAATTTGGAAATATGGAAACTTCTGAGATATCAAAAGTTGATTCGCGAGTAGGCGTTTATAAGATTTGTTTGTTTGTTTTTTGTTTAATGCCGGACTCAACAATATTCCAACTATATGACGGGGGTCTGTAAATAATCGAGTCTTGACCAGACAATCCAATGATTGACATCATGAGCATCGATCCACGCAAATGGGATACGATGACATGCATCAACCAAGTCAGCGAGTCAGACCACCCGATCCCGTTAGTCGCCTCTTACGACAAGCATAGTCGCCTTTTACGGCAAGCAAGGGTTGCTGAAGACCTATTCTACCCAGGATCTTCACGGGTCGACACACGTTTAAATATCATGAGTATCTATTTGAATCGAATAGAATAAGATGACATGGTGAAAAGAATCCTTAGCAAACGTATTATATTCTTTACATTCCTTAGAGATTTTAATCGAAAATCCTCTCCTTATTACATACTGTATTTCTTCTCTCAATCCTGGTGTAACCTTTCTATGCCGTAAAACACATGATGAGTAAGAGTTGTGTGACTTTTAGAATCGAGAGACATGTCAGTTTTACATGATAATGTATATTTCCATACTTCTACATCGTGGATAGTTTCGTTTAATACAATGTTTCTCCACTTATACTTCTTACAAACGTAGTGAGAAATATGATTATGTAAGTTATATTTCTTAGCTGTTGAAATCAACACTCAACACAGACTGGTTAAGTTACTGTTACGAAAACCGAGTGACAGAGATGCGCAGAAAACAATTTTACAAATTGAGACAAATGTGTTATTACAGAGACACCCAAGCGGTTGACGTCAACATCCCTCTATATAGCCGACCATGTTCCGAAGTACTAGATTAACAATGGCATAAAGTCAATGTCGTTTGTGGCTGATTTCAAACTATTCCGTACTTGCACTAAATGACAATGACAAATGAAAGCACTAGACAGGGCCTTAGAGACGGATGTCATGGAGATATTGGAAATATTGGTTTTGACAAACACCGGTTTGTTTACTTACAGCTTTTTCACGAATGCAAGTGAAGAATTAAAGTAATGGTTATCAAATTCGTCTGTTTGGAATCGACAATGCCTGAGAAACGTTTATAGGAATAGTAGGCCAATATTGACCGAAATGCACCATCCTCTGTGAATTTTATAGATCGAAAACCGACAGCCATTTGGTCAAAGAGATTCAATTATTCATAATCACCTCACAAGTTAAAGCTTGGTTTTGAGTTAGAAGACAATTGAAATGAGAAGGTAAAATGTGTTTGTGGTAAGAAAGAAGTTGTCGGAATTTCCTTTTCAATATTATTATGGAGCATCGAATCAACGAATATCCTTCAATGGCCACATTGTGTTGGAAGACACAACACACTGGTCTTGGTTTCAGGTATTTCATCGAGCTGACTAACTCGTTATTAACTTGCTGAACTGAACTGAACTTTTATTTACACACAGGCCGCTATCAGCTGCATCGAAGGTACAAAATTATTTCAACAACATAATACATATAAATATATAATAGATACAAAAACATCTTTGCCGAGCATACATGCATATTTAAACAGTTTCACTGGGGTAGCAATATACATGTAATTCAATGAAGGGGAAAGTTACTTGACAGGTGATATGATGATTTTGTAGAATTTGGAAAATTTTCTCAGTGTTCCTAATCGTGGATTACTGAAAAATGAATTCATTTTAGACATATTTGGTTCAGTGTGGTTAGAATCTGTGTAATAAATTCTTTCGTTTTCTAAAGATGGACAAATAAACAAACAATGGAATGCATCACCTACGTGAGATAGTTTACTTACTAACCCATCCACACACTTTCATCTACTTACTAACACATCCACACACTTTTATCTACTTACTAACACATCCACACACTTTCATCTACTTACTAACACATCCACACACTTCTCACCTGAGTTTAAGTTTTGTTAGTTCAATGTACAGATGTATCAGTCATTTGGACTATTATAAGCTATTTTAAGGCAGATAAGGAAGAGTTCCTAAATATCAAGAAAACAGTTGAGGTCAAAGAAGCCACAAATGTTACAAATGTGCGCAGCCTAAGTATTACACATATGCTAGCTTTCTGGACTTGTCAGACGGTGTGACTATATGACATATGAAGCCTTTATTGCAGGATATTCTAAGTTTGGAGGTTCTAAAGGGCTACCCCAATTTAGAAATGGAATAAATACTATAACAGGAAAGTGATGAGTAGAGACAGTTACGTAATTGAAAAAGCAGTGATTACGTCACCACGAGATGGTTACGTAACTTCCGAGGACACGCGCGTGCAATGACGCAACAGAAAGTAAGTAAAATTGTAAACATAAGATGATATTCCTGCAATAAAAACATTTAGTCGCTAGTACTAAATGTAATTATTGCAGGATATTACAGCGAGGGCCCACCTACCTGAGGAAGGTGGGCTATGTTGAAAGAATGACAAAGACGCAACAGAGGATTTAATGGCCGAGGGTGTGGAGGTTCTAAAGGGCTACACCAATTTAGAAATGGAATAAATACTAATACTGGCCTAAATGGCATAACCATGCCAGGGCAAATTTCGTTATGTGGCGACTTGAGTCGCCAAACATATTTGTTAATAGATAATTAATGCTAAGGCCCAAATGGCGGAAACGTCACTACCCGACCACAGCTGCGGGTCTAAATGGGAGCGAACGCCGCCAGGCCAAATTTAATTGTAAATATATACTTAATGCTACGGCCCAAATGACGGAAACGACGCAACCCGACCAACGCTGCGGGTCTAAATGGGCGCGAACGCCGCCAGGCCCAGCTATGTAGCAACTTGCGTTGCCAAATATAATTGTTACTAGATTCCCAAGTGAAAACCCGGGAAAGACTGGGTTCCAACTGGTAAGAAGATAACCGAGTCTGGGTTCCCGCTGGAAAGCAGGTAACCGGAAACCCTAATTAGTATATATAACAATATAAATTATGATGATATAGGAGGTAGCCCAGAAGAACCTCGCCACTTAGAACCAAAGTGCTACCCAACACCCCACGGCCGCGGATGATACGCGTGCCCGCCATGATTGCCTCATAAAAAAAAGATGTCTTACCTTTATAATTACCTACTTGCAAATTGGGACCAAGGCATTATCGATATCCTTGACGAAAGCTTGAATCCCTTTAAAACTAAGGTGGATTCCCTCCCACTGGAACCAGGATCGGTCAGTGGCCAGTCTTTTGGGATGGGGGATAAATGAGAATTTAGGAAGGTCGCGGAGACGATTGGCTAACCGCCTATTCACCTTGGATCTGCTCTTTTCCAGTTGAGTATGTCTTGTCCCAGAAAGGTGCCCCACAAGTTCTCCTAGACGGCTACACGTATGCTAAGTACAGGACGAAGAATGAAAATGTGTACTGGAGGTTACGACATGGGTGGATGACGATGCCCGGTTCCCACCTCGACTGTGGATATACCATGCGACACAAGGGCCCTGTACAAACAACAACCTAGAAGGTTTCTACTCCAGAATCGGCAAATCCCTCCAGCACAAGCATCCAAACATCTTCAGATTTATCGAACTGATCCAGAAGGTAGAAATTTCGGAGAGAGCGAAACTAGCGCAGATTCAATTTGGAGCAGCACCGCCACCCAGGAAGGTTGTCTACAGAGAAAAGGAACGGCTTCATCGCCGTGAAAAGACACCCCTTCAGTACCTGGATGCAGTTGGTCCACTGATGATAAACAAGTGAAAGGTCTACGTTTTGGGAGGATACCGTGGGGATAGCTGTTGCCTTGCCCTTGCCATAAAGCTTGAGCCCACCATCCAGACTGGAACAAATGTACTATAGTAGCATTTGGCAGTTATTAGTTATTTTTTTTGTTATTTTTTTTAGTTCTTGTTAACTAACATGAATAATTATGTCGCAGGAAGATGTATATACGACTGATAGCATTCTGACTTCCACCTGCCGTATTGCTGGATGAGATGTTGTGGTACCCCATTGATAGCTGCTGTTGTTGCTGCTCCGATTCGGAAAGAGTGGGAAGAATAACTTTCAGTACCTATTGAGCTGAGGGCCAAGGCCTCTTTAAGGACCGCTTGGAACTGATACCTGGTTAGCGGTGAATGATCAAAGTGGATATATGCTGGGGCGGGGCCAGATGGGCGCACATTTAAGTATGCCTTAAGGGCAGCCACTGGGCAGGTTGATTTACCTGGTGTCGCCTCTATACCCACTGAATTGCCGTACCCATGTTGGTCGCCTTTGGAGTGTGGAAGGTGTATAGTAGCTTTCTCCGGTTTACCTGATATACTTACATTATTGATGGAGCAGCCTGGCTGTGACATCTTAGTCTGAACTAGTTCACTTACCCTAAAGAAGCCAAAGAAGGCTATACAATAGACAGCTCTGAAGAGGCATACCTCGTATGACGAGGAACAAACCTGCGTGAGATTGTTGATGACCACCTTCAACAGATCCAGAGTAATAGGTTTCCTTGTGTCCTGGCGCCCTCTTGACTTGTACATACCTGTTATTAGTTTAGTAACCAGGAAATGACTGGTACAGTCTTCCATACCCTTAAATTTATGGTTGGCGGATATACCCGCGATATATGTTTTTACTGTGTTGGGAGAATGGTTGGTGACTGACAAATGAGCAATAAAGTTTACGACCTGATCTAGGGGGACTGGTCACGTTTCCGGAAGCTGATGCACCGATCTGAACTGCTGCAGCGCGTTGATGCCTGTCTTGTAGGTCGACCAGGTATTTCCAGATAGGGACTGTAGTAGTAGCCTGTCTACTTCTTGCTTCAGATGTGCCATACGTTGTCTGGGACCGGCGTTGGCGCAGGCTCTGCTTCCGGTGCTACTGCCCGGAAACGATTGAACTGAAACCTCGAGAGTGCATCGGCTATAACATTGGAATTAGTTGCAATGTATTTTGACTTAAACAAAATGTTATAGTTAAGACAAAGGAGGGTGAGGCGGCGGAGAAGATTCATCACCCGAGGGGCTTTGGTTGATTGCTTGTTGATGATTGCCACCACTGCCTGGTTGTCACAGTAGAACAGTATTTTCTTGTTCATCAGCTGTGTTCCCCATAGCTGAATGGCGCAGACAATGGGAAA